CTCTCTCTCTCTCTCTCTCTCTCTCTCTCTCTCTCTCTCTCTCTCTTTCTCTCTCTCTCATTCTTTCACTGTTCTGATCTTTGCTATTGTATCATTTTTCTTTTTTTCTTTTTGGTACCAGGGATCAAATTCACATTCTTGTGCTTGCAAGACATTGAGCTAAATCCCCAGCCTGTATCTTTTTTCTTTTTCAGTTTTTTTAAATTAGTACATAATGATTACATTCCTCATGGGGAGTTGGTACATATACATAGCACATCTTATTTTTTTTTTTTTTTTTTTTTATTGAGAAAGGGCATTGTCTTAGTCACTTTCTCATTGCTGGGACACAATTAAAGGAGGAAATGTTTCTTTTAGCTCACAGTTTGGAGAGGTTTTAGCGCATGGTCAACTGGTTCCATATCCCTGGCCCTTTTTTTTTTTTTTTTTTTTTTTTTTTTTTTTTTTTTTGAGACAGGGTCTCACTATGTAGTTGAGACTGATCTGGAACTCACTATGTAGCTCAGGCTGATCGCAAACTCACAGTGATCCTCCTACCTCAGCCTCCTGAGTGCTGGGATTACAGGTGTGCGCCACCACATCCGGCATGACAATATTTTCTTTATAATCAATTTCATTGGTTTCTCAGTGCCACTGAGCTAAATCCCTGGCCCATTTATGATTATTAATTTATTTAAATCCATTACTGTTGTGGTTTATATCTAGATGTCTCTCCAAAGCCTCAGGTGCTCACAGGTAGGGACTTGGGAGGCTATTGGATCACGGGGACATGATAGAGGGTTAGTCCACTGAGGAGTTTATAGCTAATGAGATGCTGGGAGCAGGACAGAGGAGGTGGCCACTGGAGGTGGGGCCTGCAAAGCTCTATCTCCCTCCTCCTCCTTGATTTCTCTCCTTCCTGTTGTCACACTATGAGCTCCTTCTCCTCCACCATGGCCCTGCCTTGTAGCCAGCAGACTATGGACTGAAACCTCTGCGAACTGTGAGCCCAAAGAAACCTTTCTTCCTTGGCGCTGAGGGTGTTGGATATTGTATTTCAGTGATGAGGAGGTAACTAAGACAATTACTTCCCTGGCATACCAGTTTTGATCAGATTTCAGTGTTATTTTTAACAATGCTTCACTTCTGAATATTTTCAAATTTCCATTATGATTTTATCTTTGAACCGTGAGTCATTTAGCAATGGAAACTCTGTCATTGAAGGTTTTTAAATTAGCAAGTGATCTTAAATATATATTAAAATGTTGTTCTTTGTCACTGGATAAAAACAAAAGTGAAACATTAACCACCAGAATCTAAGTAAGAGAAGATGGATTTTCTGACTCCCTGGGGGCAGTGGGCAGGGAGGTAACTCGCAAATGTGAGATACGCTTTGGAGACCGAAAAATTTCAAGTATTTCACTTGTGAACTGGAGGCAAAGATGGAGTAGGAGAGACCAAGAGTGATTCACCTGGCTTCTGCCTAGAGCGACTTGATGGGTAAGGAGCCATTTCCCAGTGGAGTATAGGGAAAGAAGAGGTCTGAGACAAATCAGACATTTCTGCTTTGACCAAATAAGTTTGACAGGCCACTTGGACATTCCAGTAGAGACATGTGGACATATTTGGGCTGGATGGGTAAAACTGGGGGTCACTGGCATGTCTATAGCATTTACTGTCATTAGGTGGATGATGTCACCCACAGAGTGTAAAGAGAATACAGGAGGGGGCTGGGGATTTAGCTCAGTGGTTCTGCCACCTGCCTCGCAAGCTCAAGGTCCTGAGTTCGATCCCAGGTACAAAAAAAAAAAAAGAGAGAGAGAACACAGAAGGCCCTGTCCGACTTTGGGGACCAGCAACACGTAATGGGGCTGTGACTCCAGAATTGCTATGCACTAGGGGTCTTGGGACTACCACCCAGGCGGCAGAGGAAGTTTAGGGCTTATCTGTACTTTCAATGCAGAGAAGGGAGCACAATGTACTTAGACTGTGTGTTGATTTGCAGCTCTGTGGGAACAGGGAGGACAATCATAGGAATTACAGAAGGACGTGCAAAAGCCTTTCTCCAAACTCCCCTTTGTCTAAGCAGCACTGAGAAAGTTTAAAAAGTACTAACTGATTCTCATCTGTCAAATTAAACCATACATGCATTATAAAAGCCTGAGAGGGCCGGGGATTTAGCTCAGTGGTTCTGCCGCCTGCCTCGCAAGTGCAAGGCCCCAAGTTCAATCCCCAGTACCAAAAAAACAAAACAAAACAAAACAAACAAAAATGGCCAAAAGCCCGAGAAAGCCAGGCATGGTAGCACACCCAGCACTCGGGAGGCTGAGGCAGGAGAATCACCCATGAGTTCAAGGCCGGCCTGGACAGAGTGAGACCCTGTCCCCCCCAAAAAAAGATGAAAAAAAAAAAAAAAAGCCTTGGAAAATCTGACCCAGAGCTGCTCTGGACAAGGTCCCAGTGCTGGTCGCACCACACTGGTGGTGAGAGGGCTTACTCTCCAGGAACTCCATGAGGCCGCCTCCAGTGTTGATGCACATCGCATTGAACCCTCGGGTGGGTGCCAAGCTGCGCTGGACTCCGTTTGAAGCTAAAGTGTGGAGGATGCTGGTTTTCCCTGCTCCATCCAGGCCTAGAACTAGGATCTGCTTACTTTCCTCCTGTGAAACAAAACACAAACCAATAAACCTGTGCTACAAACCTTGCTTTCCTGGCTGCTGACTGTACCTACTTGTTGTAGGACCTAATCAGTCATCAAACTGCATACCAGAGCAAGACTTCACAAAAATGTGTGTAGATCAAAATCAAATGGTACGACTCAGTGTTTTCTAATTAACCTTTACTAGTTATGCGATGTTAACCCAACTCCATCCCCCAAGTCATGGTCAGCTTAACACTTTACATACATAACACATTATGTACATATAACACATTAAGTACTTTGTAGCACATACAAATAGAAAATATTT